GTTCAAACAAATCAAACAAATCACTGTTACTCTCAATTTCAATCACCAGCACAAACCACTGCTCTATCAAACTGACCAACAAAACCAACCCAACCAATGACCTCCCGGTGCTTCACTTCCAATCATTGCAACCAATTAGTGTTAAATTTATGACATCATTTATTTGATAAATTATACAATGTACATTTGTACCTGTATCTTTATATTTAATATTGTAGTCATTTGTTGCTTTACGTTACAAATGGCTTGAAAGTGCAATAAATGAACAAATGGTGTATAAAATGTATATAAAGTATTGTATGGTATATAACTGAATGTATGGTCATTCAAGTGTCAACTGGTCTAAGGGGTGGTGTGGTGTTAGACACCATCCACAGCATTGGCCTTAATCTCGAAGTACAGCTCATAAGAAGCGAAGGCATCGACGGCCGCATAGTCTCGCTGTTGACGAGTCAATGGCTTTTGTGACCAATCGGTGAGTCTTTGCTCCTTACGGATGGACTGACCCAACAGGTGCTCACAGAGTCCACTCAGACTCCAGTTCCCACTCAAACCTATTCAACACATACGGCTGTACTCTATGGTTGTATTGATAGGACAGACAACTCATTCATACCCAACAACTGGTTGGCCATCACTTTTAGATCGATTACAGACTTGTTATTAGAGACGAGTAATGAATCCAAAGGCAGATTGTAATCCCTCTGAAGTTTCCAGAAGTCGTTCTCAATATTGAGACCAACTTTGAGACACTTGTCATTTAGCAGTAGTGGCACAAGAAGTGGAGGAATCGTGTAATTCATGGCCGATATGTGGAATAAATGGCATTCATTTGAATCGATACACAACTGAATTAAACACACTTTCGATGCTTTCATACAAAGAGATAATCATTTGAATGACACATACAATGAGGTAATGGTGTGACTGTCACTTACGGGTGGGTCTGGCCCTCCACTCGCAGTCAAAGCCCACCACAATCTTCGTGTCCAACACTTCAGGTGATGGACTCACGAGTTGGTCCAACAGTGTGCTCAGCACGTGGTGTGTGGTGTGCAGGTGATCGTGATAGTGGATGTCACCACTGAATGACAGGTATGTCTTTGCCATCATATGGTCTCATTTCATGGCACCAGTGATGCAGTGATGCAGTGGTCAGTCATCTCACGCACTGACCATCACTTGAAACAGCATTTCATAAGAGATTGTCAGTCGTTGTCATAACAACACTGCCATTCATTTCATGTCTCTTCACAAATACTATAACTATTTGTTTGACACAACTTATGGTGGTTTTGATTGAAGACTTTAATTACAGTATTATCTAGAATCTAGATGATCTAGATGATCTAGATTCTAGATCATGCATTAACCAAACTTTTAAAATCTTAAAAATAGTGATGTATTAAATCTATAATATTATTAAAAGTACACAACACTAGTAATATAAACTTATAATACAAAAATTAGTGACTCAAATTACAAGCTATTATTTTATTAATCACAGAAAAATACACATAAATATTAATGTGTTAACATTCATTTATATTAAAACTAATAATTTCTAATATTTAACTCAAATACCAATAATTAATCGTAATAACCATGCATACAATAAACAATATTTGTATTCTAGTAAATTATCTAGTATATAAGTATATTCTAGTATATTAGTAGCATTAAGGATTAAAATACTAGTGTTGTATTAAATGGTAAATAATTACTATGCCTTACAACGCTAGCTGGGCTCTGAAGCTCATGTATATTAATGAGTGATCTAGATCATATGAGAATTGGAGTTTTGTAGTAGCTTTTGCAAAAACTATATTCATTTAATCACATATTAAACTATGATAAATACTCTATTTATTTCTATGTATTTATGTGTCACTCA